GACTGACATAATTGCTATGGATGACAGCAAGGTAAGTCATACTCTTGCACGTGGCAGGCAAAGGCAAAACAAGGGAGATTCAGCACAGGATGTTGGGCATGTTCACAGAGAGGGAAGGAAGAGATGCGCTCTAGGCATCCCATCACACTCTTGCTGGCATAGACCATTGCAAGGAGAATGAGCGAGAGCGGTAGACAGAAAACCAAATTGCAACATCACACTGAAGAGCAGATAGTCGTGTACCAAGCAGAAAGCAGTATGCGCTGAGATACAAGCCAAATAAGAGCAATGCAATGAACCCACATGTCAATGTCAGCCCCAACTTGCCACCATCAACAATGCATCCAGTGCCACTCTTCTCACTTGGCGCCCAGCCTACCACTACTCAGTACCTATACTAGCCTGCATCTACAACGAAGCAACCAGGAAACACTCCAGCAGAAGAGCAATGTACATGTCGAAAGTCGCCCATGCAGACCACCGCATACACATCAGGTACCTCTCTTCCTCCTCTCACTCACCACCTGCCTGCACAGGCTCCCCTGCCTGAAGACCACCATCACCAGCACTGGCACCAGCGAGGTCATCCCGGCTACGGCCGCCTCGCGCGCTGCTACCAGGCAGCGCCCTGCTCTGCGCCCGTGTGTGACTCTCCAGCCTTTGCCTCAGCAGCCTGCCAGCACCCAGTCCAGCAGCGTGGCCGCAAGGTCGCCCAAGGCCAGAATGCCTCACTGGGCGCTGGCTATGGCCGCCTTGCATGCTGCTACCAGGCAGCGCCCTGCCCTGTGCCCGTGTGCTCTTCTCCAGCCTTTACCTCAGCAGCCTGCCCGCACCCAGTCCAGCAGCGTGGCCACAAGGTCGCCCAAGGCCAGAATGCCTCACTGGGCGCTGGGCACTTTCCTTCATAGAAAGCGCTGGATCGTCGTGGGGCCCAGTAGCTTCTAGTCGGGCCAAAGTGTCTGCGCCCAGGTCCAATTCAGATACTGGCCTGGGCCCGACATGGCTCTTGTCACTCGCTGCATCCTGATCGGCTGAAACGCCTTCGTCCACATCGCTGCCTTGAAGAGCCCGGAAGGCTCACGTGGTCTTGGTCACACAGCATGCTGAGGTCCTGTAACCAACTGGCGCCCAGTAACTGTCTGGCGCCCTCCGAAGTGGCCAGAAGTCAGCCGTGGGGGGGAAAAAGCAGGATGGGGACCCCCTATGTCACAGCTGAGGCCACTCACAGGCTTCTAGGGCCTTGTGAGGGGCCCAGGGGGCTGCCACCCAGGGAACCGGCCATGACAAAAAGCCATGTCCTTTCTTTTTTTTCTTTTTTTTTTTCTTTTTTTTTTTGTGT